CCCCAAAACCCCAAAACCCCATCAGCTATTTTTTTCATTTTAGATAGAATTTGAGATAAAAATTAATATATACAAGTATTTAAAAAAGTAAGTTATGAGAATATTAATCTAAAAGTTTTAGTAATATTGCACTTGATTTCAATAATAGATTATATATGCTTAAGATAATATAATCATTAGATAGGAACGGTGCTCCTGTCAGCTTTAACTATAAAGGAAAATATCAGCATTAGACTACTCTTGGTGGAATACTAACAATAATATAGATTAGCAGTCTGCTTGCATTCTTCTTCATATTGCTCAAGAAAGTTATTGATAGAGATATGATAATTAGAAATAAAAGCAAGTATATGAGTGCACTAAACCAAGAATAAAAGTATCATATAGATCTTGATAATTTCGATATTGCTTTTGGAATAAAATTTGTCTAAAATTCAGACCGATACCATTATTAAAATGAGAGTATAAATAAATATCTGAACATCAGTTTCTAATACTACAATGTAAGTTATACTAAAAGCGATGACGACGGTCAACTTTTGACTAATAGATCAGCCATAACCATTCCCTACGAGAAATGCCAAAATAATAGATTTTTGGGGAAAACTGAAGAAATGGAAAAAATGGGATTAAATAAAGATGGTTGGTACTGCATCTCCTAGCTTGACACTAATGTAATTGGCTAGGAAATGAGTCTAATAAGAAAAATAGTAAGGGTGACCGTGAGTCCATGCTAAAATAGCACAATTAATGATAATTCATAAACAATGGGGGAAAATGCTTAAGAAAGCAATATTACTAAATTTTGGAACATAAGCAGTAGCAATTATCAAATATGTGCTTCAGCATAAGAGATAACTGATTATATACACAAAGTCCAATTTATGATTGCATATATAAACAAGTACTTTGATTAAGATGATTTTGAGGAGCCTGTAAAAAGTGAAATTGTAGTTTAATTCTATAATGCAGAAGCGGGCTTTGCTTTCAACTCTATCTTAAATATTCAGAAGAATTATCTAATAACTCATGATCACTGGCTTTCTGATATTTTTAGTTCTAATCTCTATGAATACTTATCAGTTCAGTAAACCAAGACTGTGTTTGGTTCAATTAAACCAGGCGTATGGGAAATGTTTAATGTACTTATATATTGCAAAGATCAAGAATTCTATATTGAGAGGCAAGTTACGACTGTTATTTAAATTATGACTCTCGTTGGAGGCTTCATGAATGTTATTTTTTTGATAATAAAATTAACTTCAAAAATATACAGCAAACAAGTATTTTATTGGGACTTAATAAACAAAATATTTCATTTCGAAAATCCAGAAAAATGTTTAAGGCCTATTGGGTCTTACAGATTTATATAATCTCCTGATAAAGATTAATGCGATAAAAGAGATTTGAAAGATAAGGTATTCTCGAGAATACAGAAAAAATAATACAACGGTGTTTGAGACATCTGCTTATTTTTCTTAATGCAATGTAGAAGATTTTAAAGTAATAATTATCATTACTATACAAATGGCTCAAAAAGGCTTGACAAAATCCTTGATATTTCATCTCTAGTCAAAACTGTGAGAAAAACAAAATAAATCACTAAGTTATTACTAAAGAAAAGTCAATATTCCATAGTCAATTACATGAGCTACAATACACTTCCATTTCATAAAGAGCCATAATAAGCAATTAAGAATAAAAATATAAGAGATTTAAAAAGAAATTTAGATTATCATATAACCAGCTTATGCTTATAATACGATAAAAAACTATCACAAACAATCATAGATGATATCTGTCAAGTTAATAAAAGGGGGAAAAAGTAGAACTAGATTATTGAAACGAAAATGAGTAGTCCTACTTTAAGGATTGATGGCAAGTTTTGTTCAAGAAAAATATTATAATATTAGAGGAAAAAAAAATAGGCTTAGGAGTTTTCGTCAACTAGGATAATGGATTATGTCAACTCGAATAAGTCAAAAATCGAGTCAAGTTATCATGAGGAATATAAAGTATAAAAGCTGATTTGAAATAAATTTAGAGAGGAGAATATTCATACTTTTGATAATGCTTTTATTACAATAAAATTAATTTGTAAATTTATAAATGACAGCTATTAGATTTATTCATTTTATTTACAGTTTGGGGTTTTGGGGTTTTGGGG